TCTTAATCCTTCAATTAAGGTCGTACAAGCTACAGGGCTTGGAGCATTCCCCCGGCTCCACAGCTCATTAACCAACTCTAGTGCTCCCCCCACATTCCCTTCACTACACAACCTCTCTACTGTGTCAAAGTAATCAAACCCATTTGGCATTACGCCTTTTCTTGAAAAATCAATCAAGACATTGCAAGCGTTTGTGAACATCCCAATTCTACAAAGCTCATTAACCAAAATGTCACAAGTCACACTTGATATCCCATGTCCTAATTCAACCATCTCATAAGCCATCCCAATTCCCTCCTCAATCTTGCCTTCTATTAGAAACCTCTTAATCAAAGTGTTAAAAGTAACCACATTTGGTACACACCTGTGGTTTTTCATCTCCTTAAACATCTGCAAAGCCAATCCCAGCTGTGCATTTCTACAGTGCCCACTAATTAAGGTGTTAAACGTAATTAGATCGGGCTTAACACGATCATGGATCATTCTATCATAAAATCCAAGAGCCTTACCATAATTTCTAAATTTAACAAATCCGTGAATAATTATGTTATACATGGCCGCTTCAGGCTTACCGTCAATCAACCGCTTCATAGTATCAAATGCAAGCAGGGCATCATCGAATCTGCCAGATTTGCAGAACGCATTGATTGCGAAACGGAAGATTGGTTCAGTTCTAGGGCAAGAGAAGATACCGTCGGCACATGGGCAAGGGTTAGCAGCAATGAATTGGAGGAGGGGTGAGAGGGAGTCAAGGCGGTTGGAGATGGCGAGCGTACGGCACATCCATTCGAAGGTGGAGTGGTCGTGGCGGAAAGAGTCGACGGAAGCGGCATATCGGAAGAGGTGAAAGTCAAGGTGGGTGAGGGTGGGGTGATAGTGGATGTGTTTCTTGAGAAAGGAAAGAAGGTCTTTGGGAGTGAAGGAAGGTTTTAAATGAGTCTGTACGAGTCGTGTTAACTGTGTTTGTGTGGCTGCTGGAAGAGTGCCGATGGTGGTGTCAAGAACCGATAGCGGAAGGTAAGACGCCGCGGTTGGGTTGTGGGACGCGGGGACGATGACTGCCGCCGCCGCTTTTGGTAAGAGTTTTGGGAGTTTCCTGTGAGACATTTTTAATTAACACTGCTGATACTGCAGGTGTCCATTTTGAGTAGATTGAGTAATTCCTTGAGGTTTTCACTACGATACGGGTCAACCCAAATACAACAAACATCACATCCCAACACTACAATCATCGTCCACCTGACATATTTGAAACAGAATTCCATTAGTACCAGCAGAAAGTGAAGCCAATAATAATGGCATTAAAGTCAATTAGCAAATTACTTATTTAGATTCATGTAATATTAATAACAATTTGAGAAAGGGTATCTTACACAGTTGAAGAATATAACTCAGAGTATCTTACATTACCACCAAATAGTGGTCCACCAATTTTAGTTTATGGTCTTGTAATATTATGTAGAAGCCCGGTCCCTCCCTTTTTTTTGAAGCCCGGGTCTGACCCATATAAACCCGGTTCAGGGCCGGTTCCAGGAACCCTAGCAGTCCGGTCCCGAACCCGATCCCACTACTTTTTTTAAAAAGAATTGCACGGTTCCAAGGCTAAAAAAATAAATTTAACAGGCCGGGACCAAAACTCGGGCCGGGACAGACCAGTTCGGTTTCCAAAACTAAGAACCGGGACCAAGTACCCTATACACCCAGTCAGATACTCGGTCTTTGCCCGGAACTGGAAATATGGACCCAGTCCGGTCCCGCACAGTGCCATTCCCGGGTCCACCCCTAAGTGTAATATCCTTGTAATATATCCATACCTCTCAAATGCTTATTTCAGTAAGCCTTAAATACTACATACTCCCTCTGTCCCTAAATTTACTTCCATTTCGCTTTTCGAGAGTCAACTTAAATCACTCTTAAACTCTTACTTTTTGTATCAAAACTTTATGAAAATTGATTTTTTTTTGCAGGCTTTGTAGCGGGTTTAATGTAGTTTCTGAATATGTAAATTTTATTTACTAAAAATAATCCGAGTTTTCACAGGGATCATTTAACTTTATCGTCGGTCAACCTTCGTAATCTGCAATTGGAACAACATTCAGGGACGGAGGGAGTATTATTTTTCTTTAATAAGTTTAGTATTACCATAGGTGGAAGCCTTTACGGCACTGGGGTAATGATAATGATGATAGATGAAGTGTAATCAAGGTTAATATTTAGATTATTATTGATGAACCATATTGTGTATGCATATTTATCTTTAGTCTGTCTTTCAAAGGCTCATGATTTAAATAACATGAATCATATCAAAACTTTGTAATAAAATATCATATTGGCATTCACTGGACTTCATGCCCAGTACTGACTGAGCTCTCCTTTCCGCATAACATCAATCATAAATTAGAGCATTAGGGTTTCATCAAATATTAGGTCTTAGGACCCTTCATTTATAATTAACACTGTCCAAATGAGCCATGAACACGACACTTATGTAAAGTTGAGTAGGTGACTTCATATAACTTGCCAACAGCAACTTATATATTGAGAACAATTTGAGAAGGATGATTGAGTAATTTCATATTCATATAGTGAGCTGTCTAAACATGCTTCAAGCACATATTGAACTTCACATTTAAAATGGGCTATTTATATGATAATTCTACGCATTTTTCCTTTTAATAAATTCATATTGGATGTTTTATTACATTAAGTGTATCTTTATTTCTCCCGCTTTTGTTGGGAAGTTAACCAACATTCTTTAACAAGATGAATCAAATTAGAATATTAGGACGTAATATCCTTAACATTCTTACTCATATGAAGCCTTCGAGTTCCAATGTCTTATAAAAACAAGATTCCTCCTAGAATTGAGAAAATTGAAGTTTTTATTTCTCGATGCAATTTACAAACTTCAGCGTCATTACTTATAGGGATCCTTCAAACCTAATGTAACCTCTAAAGATATTTTTATGCAAAATGTGCCTTGGATTATCTCTTGGTAGATTTGGAAAACCTAATCCAAATTGGTTTGGGGCAACAAGCAATGGGCTCCAACTACGGAAACCTTGATATACCAAATCAAGCTATATGCCCAGGATTGGTCAAGAAAACTCAAGAAGCTGAAAACAAACACTGATTATGATTTTCTACTTCCATAGAACTTGATTTCTATCGATTAAAAAGGTGAAATCCAGGCGATGCTGATTGAGGGGATAAAGCCACACAGCCAGCTTAAAATGAACGTAGATTGATCGTACATACCAGGAAAATCCTCAGGTGGTGCTTTTATTCCTACGGTACGATAATGTTGGAGTGAGCGTTCCTATTCCAGCCGAATCTCCCCTGCTGAACTCAAAGCCTGCTTTGTTGCGCTGAGAAGAGGACCTCATTTTATTGTCCATATTTGAGTTTTGGACCCAGACATCTCAAAGAATGTTCTAGTATTACTCAAATGCTCAATTTTTAATCAAACAAATACAAATCACTCATCTCCTTTCGCTCCCTTGAATTTATACGAAGTATTTTCCACGATATTATATGAACTTTAAAGAGTATAATAGAGTAAGATAAGATATCATGAAATCAAATCCATTCAAAGTTTCTCCACAAAATTTCAATAATAAAGTTGAAACCGCTAATTTCGCCAGGCCGGCCCAGGGAAGGTGCACACAACCCATTCTCTTTAATGCTTTTTTTTTTTTTTGGAAAAATAAATATCCAATTTGATTTCAAGATAATGCAATTTATTTCTAATATATGTTCTACTAAAAAACAAATTTATTTTTACTGTATTTGTCATGGGAAATTTCCTAATGATCGAATTTGAACTATCTAGCTTAGGCCAAGCCTTCTCACACTTTCGCCCAAAATTCTACACACACTTTTCTCTTTTACTATATACATATATAGTTTAACTGAAATTTGGTATGAGTAAACTAGACTTAATGAATAAGATGTTCAAAAAAATTCATCAAAAAATTCCACCAGGAACCACCTCAAATGGCGACGGCCGGAACAGTCTCCTATATAAAGACTTATTTGACCCCTTTTATGCAACTTCGAGTACCAATCTGACCCTTTACTCCTTACTTAAAGTAAAAATTTTGGAGTATAATAAAATTATGAGAGATTATTCTAAATATGACTAAAAATGTTACTTCTCTAAATAGAAGTAATTACTGCTACATTTTGACGGTATCACATTTTACACATGATAGTATTTTTCCGAACATGACAATAATTACTCATATTCAGAAAATAAACACATGACAGTTCTATTTTGAAATTATCCCTACAATTATCTAATAAATGTTATAAAATAAAGATGATATTTACCTTCATATTATTTGAATTACATATTTGGACAAAAATAACAACAAAAGTATCACAAAAGAACATTGTGAGGTAAAATCATCAATAATTGCTTTATAATCAATCTTTTCCAAGGTCACATGGCAATGTTTAAAATTGTCAATCCATTAAATTTTTTGAGACATAATAATAGATAATTGGGAGGCACCGGCAGCCCAAAGACAATAATATAAAATGATGATTTTGTAATTAAAAGAATAAAAAGTCTTAAAAGCTAAAAAGAGGTGAAGAAACGTGTTTTTTATTGATTTAACAACAAATAATTGACTTACAACTAACACTATTTAAAAATTAAAACTAAATTTATAATTTTTTTTAAAACGGAGGTTCATGACTTCTTAGTTATGTTTTAAAATTCTCGAATTGTCAACAAAAATTATGATTAATTAATTGAAGTTATAAATAAAAAAGAAGTCTACTCAAATTACCTATAAAGAAAAAATCTAGGCCTAATTTTCTTTATACTTTTTTCGGGCCTAGGGCGGTTGCCCCTGCTGCCCTCCCCTTAGGACCGGCCGTGAGTACATAAAGAATAGATTATCGGGGGGGTAGAAGTGTAGAACTCAACTAACTCCCCAATAAAGATATATATTCACTCTAGCTAGAAAAACTCAACCTTTTCATCAACCATGTTGCGACACAAACAGAAACATTATCATCATAGACATTATGTTCGTGAGACGGACTTGTCTTAGCTCATGCACAATGACCCCATATGTTTCAATAGCCCGCCACTTCAGTTTCTTCATGTACAACGGCCTTTAGGGTAAAGTCTGTGCGTGGCTAAAATAATTTAACCGGGTGATGTTTTTAAAGGAAAAGCTTCTGGAAACAACCACATCCATTTCAGCCAAGTAAGTTGGAAGCTATTTATTTTAGTATAGAATAATCAGATTAAGCCGATTATGGCTACAAAACGGAGCCTAGTATATCTTTGAAATGACTGTGACGGTCATCCGTTCATGTTGGCAGTCTAAGAGTCCAGCTCCCACCATGCTCCACTATCTTCCTTCTGCAGGAAATGATCATCACTATTTTCCCCATCAGACCAGTTCTCACTATCAATGTCAGATAATAAATAGTATTTTCTGTCTCTCTCTGGATCATAAGTCCATTCCAATGTTTTCAACACGTCGCGGTCCTTCCACCGACCCACAACTGCGACAGCTTCTTTCTTGGCCTTCTCCATCACTACCTCCTCCCATGAAAATGAAGCATCAGCGGTCCTCTTGAGAGCCCCTTCTCTGACATCACTAACGACCACCGTCCTCAAACACCTCGACTTTGCCTCTTCCAAAACCTCCACGAAATTCAGATCGTCAGATATAAGAAGCACACAGTCTACCATCTTTTTGTCCATCATATCCAACAAATGGTCCCTTATACCAATATCTGAAGCGTCTGGTTTATTTGGAACACACTTAACCCAGAATCCGGCGCGCCTCAACTCATCCGCCAAACCGTACCCAACTTTTGGTGACAGAATGTCTCTAGATGCACTCTTAAACTTGTGCATCTTTGTTGCGTATTTTGCCACCAAGTTCACCCTCCTGCTCCCTCTTGCACTCTCAATCTGATTGACCCGTTTCATATTCTCACGCTCGTGGATTTGCTTAAAATGGTTTATTAACTTCTCGTTAGCATAAAACCTCCTTCCACACACCCTACAGGTATACTCCAAGTCATTTGACATTTTACATTCTTTCCTCTTCTTCTTTACAGCAGGTGGAACATAACTGAGTGCATGTTCATTAGCATAGGCTATCATATACCTAACAAATCCAAACTGCTCTGCCGCCTTTCTTATCTTTGTAGCTGCCTCAAAAGGAGGTAACGTTCTTGGTGGTTTGTTGTTACCTAAATCCCAGAAAATCCCAATGATGCTTTGGACCTTTCTTTTGGCAAATTCTGTTGATGAATGTGAAACATCATCAGAACCAGTTTGCGGCTTTGTCTGGAAATGAGAATGTCGAAAATATCCAACCTGCAAGGATAGAATTCTCAGTTGGTTGATCGAGCTGCCTTCTCTTAATATATGGTTTGGTTTCACACGGGTCCACATCCAGACAAAAATAATTTTCAACCCAGATAGAGATAATAGTTACATGTGCAGTTCAATCCTGCAAAGAGAATGCATAACAAGAAAGCTTTATCTCTTTAAGGGTTTATCATTGGCTGACCTTAGTGACCTAGACATTGAACTATCACTTTTAGTAAACCTCATTACATTTCTAGAAAACTAGCAAACATAACTACCCATTTAAAGCATAAACTAAGGACCTCAAATAGAAAGAGGGGTGCTCATTCTGTTAATTTGAAACAATGAAATAGACAAAGGGGTGCTCATTCTGTTAATTTGAAACAATGAAACTCAGATCGGAATTATAATTAATAGACATAGTTTTGCTTTAAAGTGAATATACACTCAAAGCATCGATTTTTCACAACCTTTTAGGACAGACATGAACACAACAAACACATGGTGCTAAATAAGTACATTCTTGAGTCAAACAAGACCAAAATTCATTGCATAACATGATATATCACATCTGTCATATATGCAGTTCAAGACAACAATTCTAATGATCAAAGATCCACTCATCCAAGTCACTAAACAAGTTCGACCTCAAACCATTGCGGCTAACTAGAATAAGTAGTTTGTCAGCCTTCTGGATTGCACCCTCCCTAAAAAAGAATCTGCAGATGACTACAATAGGAAATTTCTGCCTTCAATCCTTTTGAAAGATCCTCATTTTTGGCTATAAATGCAGCTTTTTTCCTTTTATTCTGTAGAAGCTCTGCTCTCATTTAAATAAAAAATGCTAAAAAACAACTCTGGGCATAAACGGGTTGTTCGATTAAACAGACCACATAATTCTTAACGGGTTGTTCTGACTTAAACAGACCAGACCAACAAATTACAGTCCAAGTAAAAACATCCTTAATACATCAATCACAAAGTGTCAACACCACATCAACAAATTCATTACAATCAGTTGAAATTTAGAATAGCAAAACAAAAGCAATTCAATAATTTAGCTCTCAAGGACTTCTAAAGACTTCACTTAATATTAGTTCTATTGAAGATTGACAAACCTTTGTTTAATGCTACAAGTGTAGAACATAAAATCATAAATCAACATATTTATTATAACACAAAATATACTGATAGCGATCAATTCTTTGGTCGCACATATGCACGCAGAGGACAAAGGGGAGCAGAGATGATTAGCAATCCAAGTGGCTAAAGGAAAGATTAAGCAAGTCGTGAAAGTCAAGTATTTTAATGAGTCCTTTAATTAGTATTTCATTATTAGAGTTATGTTTGAATTAGCAACTAGTTTCCTAATTGTTTTTAGGAAACCCTTATATTCTATTTAAGGGGATCCCAGTAATTTTAATAGACAGCTTTTGGTTAATTATAAGTTCTCTTGACTAGGTCGGGGAAAATTAATTATCACTTAAGCCTCAGTTTCGTTCATCTCTTCCAGACAATTAAAATAGCTTCAAATAATTCATCGTTTACCTGTGGCACTTCTCTTTCACGACCTTGGACGAGGTCACTAACTAAGGCACTTAACATATACGTAGTAATATTTATAAAAGAATAGAGTAGTAGACACATTGAGATATTGAAAACCACTTATATTGTCAATCTTACACTATAGTATCATTTCATCATCCTCGCTATCATTCGAAGGTCCATCACCGATCTTGAACATACTTGTGCGACCTTTTAAGTTAAAAAATATGGAAAATAACAACACTAAAACATCATAATGAAATTATCAAAGAATGGTGAAAAATAAATTCAACAAAAAAGATATGTAATTATAAATCATTGATCATTATGAAATGAAAAAAAATGTGTTACACAAAAAAAAAATTATGAGGTTCAAATTCAGAAGCACGCAACCAATCCTGATAACATGCAAGGGCCTCAACGGTTGTGGAGGGAGATAACTTCAGGAAGAAGTTATTATTTTCTTCCCCAAACCAAAAGCGGATTAAGAAGGAACAATAGAGACATGAAGAGTCAGAATATGTCGAGCCAAAGATGAAAGAGCAACAAACATAGAAGAATTACAATTCCAAAATGGCAAAACACCGATATCATCCTTCATACTAAGTGAATTTTTATTATCTAAATAAAGGTCCAGTTCTGTCTTCCTTGCTCATACACGAGTAAAGATCTTCATCATCAGGCCCACTATCAAAATCAGATTGTAGCATCCAAGAATTAAAGCTGCTACTTGAGGTGTTCAGGCAAGATTCCCCAACTCCGGCGCATGCAGACGTGCCTTTTAAAGGATGTTATCATTATACGACACGTTATCAACCGTAAAACTAAACAACTTATCACCTATTTTCCATTCACCAAAACATAAAAGAATCTCATCGGTAAGAGAAGAACCATCCAAAATAAAAGAAATATAAAGCGGAAAATTCGATTATTCTCTTTTGTAACTTCCAAATTTAACAATCGATGAGCTGTAACATACATAAACTCATCACTTGTGTGTTCACTCCTCCAATTATCAGTTGTGAAACAAATACAACCAGGAGCACTTTTAAGCTCTTGAGAAACAATAACTTTATGGATTTTATAGTTACTCATATCATTTCTTTTAATGGTCATTTTACTAACCTTGCTGAAACTGAGATGCAATTACACTCATGAAATGCTTAAAACTCGGTGCTTCAACAAGTGTAAATAATAATGCACATGAAGCAAAAAGCACATAGATAACTTCACGAATTGTAGAGTTGCAAGGTAAAGGCTAACCTAAAGACATGTTATTAACCATTTTTGTGACACGTTCTAGTTTAGAATCCCGAACTCCACCAATAATACAAAAGTTTTTCAAATGAGACATTCCACTCTTAGAATTGACAAGTTAAGATTTTCTTGCAGACATGACATCAAGCTTGAATCACCACATTATCCAAAACTTCTCTTTTCATATCATTCCACACATCGGATTTCAGTTTATATCCTTTTGAAGTGCACTTACTTGTATTACTTTGATCCCTGTCACTGATCATTGTTACTATTTCTATGTTATGGTCTTCCACGGATCTAGATAAAGTAAAGTTCAAAATTAATTAAAAACAACAAAGAGAATAACAATAGTTTTAAATTTTACGCCATACTAAAAAATAGATACATGACTGTTTCTACAACAATTGTTTCAGTCAATCTATTTCTTAATATGGTATAAAATTCAATAATTGTTTTTATTCTCTTTGTAATGTTTAATTAATTTTGAGTTTTACTTTACCTAGATCAATGAAAGACCATAACATAGAAAGATAGGCAATGAACAATGAAAGAGGAGATCAAAATACAAATCAGCGCACTTTGAAATAACAGAAATTGAAATTCGATGTGTGAGATGATATGAAAAGACAAGTTTTGAATAATGAGGTGATTCAAACTACATGTCGTCATTGTAAGAAAATCTTACATGAATGTTTTGATAAGTTTTGTATTGTTGGTGGAGTTCGTGATGCTAATCTAGAATGTGGCACAAAAATAGTTAATAACATGTCTTTAAGTAAGCTTTTACCTAGCAACTCTGCAATACGTGAAATTATATATGTGCTTTTTGTTTCATGTGCATTACCACCATTTACAATTGTTGAAACATTGTGTTTTAAGCATTTCATTAGTGTAATTGCACCTCAGTTTCACCATGTTAGTAACATGACCACTAAAATAGATGATGTGAGTAATTATAGAACCCATAAAGTTATTGTTGCTCAAGAGCTTGCAAACGCTCCTGATCGTATTTGTTTCAGAACTGATAATTGGAGTGAACACACAAGTGATGAGTTTATGTGTGTTACAGCTCATTGGATTCATAAATTTTGGAAGTTACCAAAGAGAATAATCAAATTTGCCACTTTACTTCCTTCACTTGATGGTTCTTCTCTTGCTGATGAGATTCTTTTATGTTTTGGTGAATGGAAAATAGGTGATAAGGACATAAGGTGTTTAGTCTTACGGTTGCTAATGCATCTAATAATGATACAGTAGTAGCATCCCTTAAAAGGCACGTGTTAAGAAAAAACACATTGTTGATGAATGAAAAATTTGTTCATATCCGTTATTCTTGTCACATTATAAATTTAGTGGTTCACAGGCGGCGCTGAAACTCATTGATGATTCCGTCCTTAAGATAAGGAAAATAGTAACACATTTGAAGCATTCCATGCCAAAAAGAAAATTATGAGAGAGCTTCCGGTCAAGGTTTTGAAAGGCGAAATCAAGCCCCGAGGCGTTCGGCGGTAGCCTCACGAGGCGTAAGCCTCAAAATTAATTCTCTAAAAGCGTACAACATATCAGATAGTATAGATAATCCATAACAATAATGCAACTAAGCAAAATCACAAGTAAAAAGAACATAACAATAAAATATTCAAGTCAAAATAGCATAAAAATGAAATTTAAAAAAACACTAAAATTCCAAGACAAAAAAGAAATAATTGATAATCAACTTTAATAAATAAATAAAAATAAAACCAAACTGTAATGAATTTAACTATAATTTTCCAATTAAAATGTAAATCTTAAGTCAAGTAAACTAGTAAAGTGCGCAGTATTAAACAAATAAATAAATTATTGAGCTAAATGATAGTTTTATATGATTACTTTACAGATTAAACAATAGGCTTAATAAATACATTATTGACGTTAAATGACAAACATATAAACATCAGAAAGGTTGGACGAAAATTAATACTCCGTACTATTTAATAACTTTAAATAGCTCAAAATAAAACCTTTAAATAACTAAAAAGTTAAATAAAAGAAGTTAAATAATTCGGAGTAGATACTATTAAGAAATTCTAGAAGTTGGGTGTGGGATATTTTATACTCTGTAATTGCTTGGACGGACCAGAAGCAACTCCTGAAGTCTCTGTACCGAGCTTCAGCAGGCTGAGCATCTCTTCTTCAAAGTCGTTGTTTCTACTTTTTTAATATCTAGTCTCGTAGAAGAGTGAAAGACCACCGATTGGAATTTGGAAGACCTAAGCCTGTGGCAGTAGTGTGGCTAAGTAATAAAATATCCAGGTATTTTATATTTTAGGAGAGAAAAAATTGAGGCCCCAGATATTTTTTTTAAAAGGCCCAACCTTGCATAAAATTAGAGGCGAATGCCTCGTGTACGCCTTGCGCCCACAGTCCACATCAACGCCTTAGCAAATTGAAGGCGTAAGCCTTGTTAGCAGAAGGCAAAACTTAAGCCTTCCAGGCTATTACCGACCGCCTTTGCGCCTCAAGTGCGTAAAGGCTAAACACCTTTTAAAACCATGCTTCTGGTACTTTTAGTTTGAATACTACCAAGAAGCTACGGTTAGACACACCTATTAGGTGGAATTCAATTTTCATTACGTTTGATCGTTTCCTTTATTTTCGGGATGCTATTCATAGCTCTGTTGGTAAGAATGCAGATTTGAAATACTATCGTCTTACCGAGGAGGAATGGGCAATGTAAGTATTTTGAAAAAGTTCTTGCTAAGTATCTTTTGATGTAATGAATGACTTTTCTGCTTCTAAGACACCGACCTCGAATATTATTTTTGTGGGGTGTGGAAAATTCATAAATATTTGAAAAAACAGTATCATCCCCTCCCAGCACTATATCTAACATGGTGAGTGAAATGCAATTGAAATTTGAGAAAGATTGGGAAGATTACAATCTCATTCTTTCATGCATTGCTGTTTTTTATCCTCGTTTAAAGTGAGATGGTGTGGGGTTATTGTATAAGAAGTTAGTGGGGGAAGAAAGTGCTAAAAGCTTTGTGAATCAAATCAAAACTACTTTAGTTGAACTTCTAGATGAATACAAGTTTACATGTGCTGAAGTTGGGGAATATGGCCATATCACCTCAAGTAGCAAATTTGATTCTTGTATGCTACAATCTAAGTTTTATAGTGGCTCTGAAGATAAAGATCTTTACCGGTTTATGAGCATGAAAAGGAAGACAAAATTAAAATCAGAACGGGGCCTTTATTTAGATGAAAAACCAAATAGTATGAAGGATTATATCAGTGTGTTGCAATTCTCGAAGTGCAATTCTTCTAGGTTTGTTGTTCTCTCATATTTGGCTAGGCCGCGCTAGGGATATTCTAAGTCATCCTATCTCTCTTGGTCCTCCTGAATCTGCTTTGAGTTTGGGGAAGAAAATAATAACTTCTCTCAGATGTTATTTATCCCCCACAACCATTGAGACCTTTGCATGTTATGAGGATTGGTTGCGTGCTGTTGGATTTGAACCTGGTATTTTTTTTGTATAATGTATTCTTTTTCATTATGTAATGATCAATCTAATTTTGAATTGCATATCTTTTTTCTTGCATTTATTTTTTACCATTCTTTGATAATTCCATTATGATGTTTTAGGTGTTCTCAAAAGTTGTTATTTTCCATATTTTCCAACTTGCAAGGTCCCGCAAGTATGTTCAAGATCGGTGATGGACCTTCAAATGATAGTGAGGATGAAGAAAATGATGAAATGATATAATAGTGTAAGATTAACAATATAAATAGTTTTCATAATCTCAATGTGCCTATTACTCTACTTTTTATAAATATTACTACCTCCGTCTCGAAATAAACGTCTCGCTTTGACTTCACACAGATTAAGAAAATGAATTTGACTTCACACTGTAGTCTGTAGCGACACTGTTTGACACTGTAGCGACACTGTTTGGCATTGTTTTGCACTGTTTGACGCTGTTTGGTATAAATTTGTTTACCAAATAAGGAAGTTAAAGAAGTAGGACATTTATTTTGGGACATCCATTTTGGGAAAGTAGGATATTTATTTCGGGACGGAGCGAGTATATTTTTATTTGTTATTATTAATATGGTGATTTTCTTATTTTATGGTGTACACTTGTAGCATTAAACAAGGAAGAAATGAACGATCCAAGGTGTGTCAGTCTGCCATACAAGTAATATTAAGTGAAGTTGTCTCTAAAAGTCCTTGGGAGGTGAATTGTTGCTTTTGTTTTGCTATTCTAAATTTCAACCGATTGTAATTAATTTGTTAATGTTGTTTTGGAATTTGTTAATGTTGTGTTGTCGTAAACTTTGACACTTTGTGATTGCTCTACTAATTGTTGATGTTGTTTTAGAATTTTGGGTGATATTTTTTGTTGGCAGGTACATTAATTATAATTAACTGTGTAAAAAATGTTGTGATGTTACTTTATAAAAGTTCTCAACTTTTTCAGCAAAACTGAAAAAAAAAACTATTTTTTCCTGGGCTGGGCGCCCGTGGACAGCCCAGCCCACGCTGCTGGGCAAGCTCGGAAATATGATTAGGCCCGTTTGAACAGGGTCAGGCTGGGCCCGCCCACACAGATGGGCAGAAATTTTAGGAAAAGCCCGAGCCCGTTTTCGTGCAGATCTAGTTGTGGAGCAGTGGTGATGGATATAAAGTAAACCTAGCCGCTACTCCCGCTAGCTCTTTTTCTTATTTCGTCTCCATTTCTTTCCTCAGCATGATAAAAGGTTTTTCATGGCAGTGTTTCCATTTAATATGATGTATTTATTTTCTATCGATGTCTAGAGTGCATTCTTCATCGGCATAGCCGATCGGGTGATAGAGCTGTTGTTTTTCTAGTCAAAAACAATTGTTCTACCTATTTTCTGAGATTTTGAAGTCGGGTAACAATAAGGTGCATATGTGGTCTTGGTCATTCATCCCCTTCCAGAGCGCAATTGTTCTCCTTTCCTGTGGCTTACCAAGCTAGTGATTTGAACAAATTAGGCCCGGTCCTATAATTTAACTTAAAGTGGACTTAATCTTTTAAAAATACAGAGTAATAAGAGGGAGATAATAATACAGAGTAATAATACGGAGATTCTACCATTTGTATCACACCTTGAAATTAATTAAATATACAAATTAATTATAATTGAAAACTTTCACCTAACAAAATCAACAAAGTATAATACTCAGGTTTTCTATGGGGTTCTGGTTGTATTCCACCGGTTGAGGATGCAAATCAAAACCTATACCCAGAGCAATCACAAATTGTCTACTGTCTAGCAACAAATTAACAAATTAATTACAATTGGTTGAAATTTAGAATATCAAAACGAAGCAACAATTAACCTCTCAAGAATACCAAAGAATATTAGGAGGCTATACCCAGAAATGGGCGTCTACGCTCACCAAAACAAAATTTGGTAAAAATTGATAAGTTTCTTTACGAAGAAGGCTTAATTCATGTCTCTCTCGGAGCTAATGGCCTGGGGTTCAGAGCTGTTAGGTGGCAGAAACCTAAAAATCAAATGAAGCGTCATATTGATGCTGCTTGGATTGGATATGATGTATTTATTTTCTATCGATGTCTAGAGTGCATTCTTCATCGGCATAGCCGATCGGGTGATAGAGCTGTTGTTTTTCTAGTCAAAAACAATTGTTCTACCTATTTTCTGAGATTTTGAAGTCGGGTAACAATAAGGTGCATATGTGGTCTTGGTCATTCATCCCCTTCCAGAGCGCAATTGTTCTCCTTTCCTGTGGCTTACCAAGCTAGTGATTTGAACAAATTAGGCCCAGTCCTATAATTTAACTTAAAGTGGACTTAATCTTTTAAAAATACAGAGTAATAAGAGGGAGATAATAATACAGAGTAATAATACGGGCACTCCCTCAAATTGGGGCGTGCCCTTGGTAATACTGCAAAGGGTTGTGGGTCGTGCGTATCCTGACCCTTGTGTAGAATATGTTGTGTAGCTTTGGATTGGATCCCTCTAGGTCGTGGGCCACATGTGGCGACGTTCGTCTACCTGACCTCGGATTGGAGCCTACCCTTGTTGCTACTACAAAGGGTTTGAGGCATGATCTATCGTCGTTACGGATAGACGTTCGTCATGGCACACTGACTTGTTGGGTCTGGACGTTCGTCCTAGGAAAGGCTTAATGGGCCGATCCTCCAATTGAGCCATTAACCCAACACAAGTCCCCCACTTCTGATGTTCCAAGCGTGCGTGGGACATAAGGAAGTAGGAAACTGTTTTTGGTGGGGACGTTCCTGATGTGGGGCTGTCCTTGTAAAATCGTGGCGGGGGACGCTCCTGATGCTGTGTTTTTAGCTGTTGGTGGCGGTCTGCGGAAACCTAGGTGACGGCTGCCGCAGAAACGGTGCAACTTTCGAGGGAAAGCCATCATTACGCATGTTCCTCTCTGCGTGCCTCGAGGGTTTCCCCTATTAGCCCTATGAAACGGTGTTTCCCCTTTATAAATACCAGATCCCCCAAATGGCCTAGGGTTTCCGATTTTTTGCTTTTCGCTCTCAAGCTTCGCGGTTCTGCAAGTCTTCTGCTGCCAAGACTTTTGGTTCGTCCCTGCTTTTTGTAAGGTAATTTGGTTCTTCTCTCTCACTTTCGATCCTTCTTTAATTTCACAATGGCGACCTTGATGGAGATTTCGTCAAGTTTTTGCTCGGGCTCCTCTTCTGGTTCTGGGTCAAGTTCCTCCTCCGACTCTAGGTCTAATTCCCGCTCTTCCGGGGAAACCAACGTTTCTGGCAGTTCTGGCTCTGCGTCCACTGTAGGGACCGTGGTGGCTGATGGTGCCCGCGGTGGTGCTATCCGCCAGAGGGATGCAGTGATAAGTGCCACTTCTACCGGTGTAGTCCACAATGATGATGCCCATCTTGAAGATGGTGGGGGGAACGTCTTACCGGGAAACGAAGCCCAAGATCAAGGCAATCTGTTGATGGACGTAGTCCGCGCCGTCCCTGGTGACGAGCGTCCTCAAGATTATGACCCGGGGACCGAGGCCAGAGATGGGTCCGGTGTAGAGGTCTACGACTGGGGTCTCCCTGTAGATGTGGAACGTCATATCACAACGATAAAAAATGTGATTGGGCACGAACAGTCCTTCTCGGATCAAGCCGGCCTTAATGATCTCATGATCTACTTCCCCCCACCATACGTCTACAGCCTCCGAGGGGCAACCAATATGATGAGGAGATGTCTGGGGATGGTCATGGTGAATCTAGATTCTGTCAATACCGGGCTGCGGTTTCCACTTCACCCATTTTACATAGAATTCTTTCGCTTCTTCCAAGTGGCTCCCGCGCAGTTCGTGCCCAACTCCTATCGATTCATCTCGGCGTTCCTCGTTCGCTGCAAGTCTAAAGGGGTGACTCCGAGCTTAGATTTGTTCCATTATTTTTATCAGCTCACTCCTCAGAACTCTGATGGGTTCTTGAGCATCGCTGCGCGTCCCAAGTGACGGCTCTTTAGTAGCGCCGACCTCAATCCATGACTGGAAAAACTGGTTCTTCTTCCTTCGTTATGAGGACACTCGTCTGCCGCTTTGCAAGAATGGGTATCCCCCAAGATTGGTTCGCCAAGGCTGACAGACGAGCTGGAGAAGCAAGTCAAGAAAGTGGTGGCAGACGGCATTCAGCCCTTGGAGAAATTCCTCACTTTCAAGGCATTTGCCGAGGCAGAGATAGGTACCGCTCGTGTTTATGGATTCCCTATCCCCCCACGTTCGTCCCGGGGCCTCGGGCGGTCCTGTCCTCTGAGGTGAGTGCCTTTTGGATCCTCACCGCCCAGTTCTAACTTCGTGTGTTTCTGTTTCAGGTCCTCCCCCCATCGAAGATCAAATGAATAACGAGAAGCTCTTGAGGAACAAGAAAGCCAAGGTCGCGGCCGCTGATGCTGCACTGGAGAAGGCCAAGGCAGCCCAGGCCTCGGAAACCAATTCATCGGCCTCTCAGGCTGAAAAACGCACGGCAAAAGCGGAGCAGCACCTAATTGCTATTGTGATGGCTCAGGGGGTCCGATGCCCCTGTTGTTGATTCGGGTTCCCCCAGCTCGTGGCACCCTTGAAAATCGTTCCCCCACAAAGGTGGGGAAAATGCTAAGGAAAAGAGGACGCAGAGGCCTTGCGGTACTGATTCTTCTGGCCCTCTGACCGAAGAGGTCGTACTGCCATCGCTCGGCCGTCCAGCTGATGATATCTGGAGGGAAATTGCTCTCTGATCTAGGGTGGAGTTGATAGCCCGGTCGTCTTCTGAGGTCACCAGTGCTGCTCTGGGAGCCAATCTTCAGGTATGCCATGGTGCATTTGTTTAGATATTCTATCTCCTTGCAGACATTTGTATCCTCACAGGTCCATGTTTCCTCTCGCAGTTTGGGCTGTGTATGCTCCAGGCTGAAGCTGCTAGGGATGCTGACGCCTAACAGGCTAAGAACAAGGCGGAGGCCGACCTGAAGAAGGCCCAGGAAGCCGCTCGTCTTCAGGAGAAGGCAGTTGCCGATAAGGAGGTGCACCTACAAGCTGCACTAGATGCCGCGAGCCGCTACCGAGATCAGGTTGCCGCTTTCGAGAAGGGTGGCTTCAAGCTCGCCTCCATCCCTCCAGCTCTTGAGGGTGGTTCGGTTGCCAACTCTGCTCCCGCCCCCCAAGGTGAGACCTCCACCCCCCAATGGCGTGTCGACACCACTGGGTATGAAAAAACAGGGGACTTTATGATCCCTGCCCAGAGGTACTGCCAGGGGGCATTCGGCGATGTCTCTGTGGCCGAGCTGAAGAGGCAAAAGCCTAAAGACCGCTTGAACTTCGGGATCTATATGCTGGAGCGAACTGCTCTTGCCGAGCAGTTCTTGTATGACGTCGGTGATAGCTCTTTTGCCTTAGGGTTCAATGAGGGGGTGAAGGCCACCCTGCCGATCTTCGCCAAGCTACAGGGCCCCGCTTTCAAGCTGGCCGATCACACGGATGACAAGGAGCTGAAGCAAGCCCTTGGCAAGCTGGAACAGGTAAAGCTCATTAAATGTGTATTTAATGCGCGTACTGTAGCTTTCCCGTTGAGGGGCTTCTAGCCGTTAGGGTATTTTACGTTAGTTTAACCGACTTAGGTAGTAGTGTGGAATTCTCTAAGTATGAGCCCTTCTGTTGGATCTCTAGACAAATACAGTTCAAGAATACCTTGAGTACTTCTGTCCAGCTGAGACAACAGAGGACCCGGGGTCTTCTGTCCAGTCGAATAAACTAATGCTTACACATGGAAATTTCTAATACATTTTTTTTGAAAAGAGTACTGCTCTAGAAACCTAATTAGTCTAGCATCGTCAATATTTAAATAAAATTTATTCCTTCCAATTTCCCCCTTTTTAATGATGCCAAAGCACTTATTCTACTTTCCATAGATGTGCCATTCACCTTTATTGAAAAGATACAATTTCCTTGTGACGTTTTAATCTTGGTGGGCATCATGCATAAGAAAGCAGTAAGTATTTGAAGAAAAGCAATAATAGTAAAACAAATACCCAAGATTTTATTATCTAGAAGCATCAAGACAAGGTATAAACTACTGAGGATTGAAAATAAACAAAAAATCTTTGGTCCTCTGTTCTATTCCTCCTTTATTTTCTACTTTGTGCTTCCTTAGTTTCCTTCCCCCTTTTTGGCATCAGCCATGCGAAGGAACAGTAAATGCAATTGTCCGATTGCATTTGGTAGGTTCATGCAGACAGACTGGAGCGCGTCCAGCGAGCTCTGTTGGTGCTAGAGCTTTGTCTCAGTCTCTTTAGAGAGGAGATTAACCTGCTCCATAAATGATAACAAAGACTCGTTACAACACACTAATGCTATTGGCCAACGACCGTTCGTCTGCTTCACAAGTAGAAGAGTTGTGAACACTGCTTCAAAGCTGCTAGAATGCTATAATGCTAAGGCGGGTAAGTTGCCAACCCTTTACAATGAAATAAATGCTACTCTCTCCGTCCCCTTTTAAATGTCCCGTTTTACCATATTGGGACGTTCCTATTTAATTGTCCCATACCTTATTTGGTAAAGTTTGTGTGGCTCAAATTCATTCTTACTTTATTCTTTATCAATTAATATCAACCACACAAACACACTTTTCTTAAAACTCGTGCCACCCTCTTCCGTCCCAATAAAAAAAGGATGGAGGTAGTACTATTTCTACTACCAAGGGGCGGGTGAATATCCTGATGTGGAGAGCTGTGGATGACTAAAGTCTCAACCACCAAATCTCCAGCATTAAATGCGCTTCCCGCCAGGATCTCGGTTTCCCGCCCATTATTTGGAGACGAGCGTCCTCACGAGTCCTGGACTTTTCCTTGATGATACCCCAAAGGATGGTAGGTTATACGTCTTCTGGCCATTGATGTAGGAGTATGTTGGCTAGCCTTGGGCTAGGACTTCTTGGGTTGAGGGCCCGGGGTGGAGACGTTCGTCTCCGTTGGTGTAGGACTGCCATTGGTCCCTAACGCTTATGATTCCACTAAGGGAAGCGGGCCGTACGTCTTCTGACTATTGACGTATTCCTTATGCTCGATGACCTTGGGGGCTTGGGGCTCGCACCTTCTAGATTGGGCCTCCATGATGGATAGTCGCCCTTGGTGCCTTGGAGACGTTCGTCTGCACTCAACACCCTTGGTGGGCTTAGACGCTTGTCCATGGAGGGGTTAAATGGGTTGATCCTCTAATTGGAGTATTGGACCATTATCCCAACAAATATATTTAGTATTATACATCTCATAAATGTGTGATTGTAAATAAAATGTCATTTTTACATTAATCATTTGAGTCCTAATTTTTTAATTACGAAAATTGGAAAGAACCATTTGGATATGAGACCAATTAATTAAGGATCGGTCCTGAACCATCGAGGTAAGCAAGAACCACACCCAGAATAAATTGAAGGTCCTCTTTACTTTGTAAGGGACTGCTTACTTTTTCTATCAAGTTCTATTGGATCAAGATGTGTATGAATTAAGATACTAGTATAATATATGTCTGCAAAAGTGATATCCGTATATGAGACTGTTTACTTCATGTGCAGAATAATCAGTCTGAACTCTGAATTGAGAAAAATATCAATTAAATACACAATATTGTTTTGAATTATAATGTCAATGAAAAATTTCATTTATTAACATAAATATACTCCATAATGAATTTTAAAAATTGATAGAATAGACGTCTTAATTGAAGTCTTAGGATGTTTTTACTTGGACTGTAATTTGCCCCAGACCAGACCAGACCAGACCAGTCCAGACCAGACCAGTTCAGACCAGACCAGACCAGACTTGGATAGTTATAAAAATACAAAGAAACCAGACCTTACCAGACCAGACCAGACCAGACCAGTTCAAACCAGACCAGACCAGACCAGACCAGCAAATTACAGTCCAAGTAAAAACATCCTTAGTGTTGATGACTATTATTTTCTAACTTCATGATTAAATCATTTTTTTCGCTGAATGATTAAATCATACTTTCGATTAAATCACAAGTAGACATGACTTAATTGTTGAACGATTAACTGATCATGACTTAATTGTTGAACGATTAACTGATTAAGTCGATATTCTCATTAAGTTAAAAAGTACACAACTCCTAAGAGGGTCTTCAGCTTTGTTCACAAATGACTAAATGAGGATTTGTTACTTGTTAGGATTCCTGGGAGCCGAGGATAAATCCATCAAATTCAAAATCATCACGAACTTAAAAATGATTTAATTGAAGTTTTTTGTTCATTTAATTTTTAGGAAGACCCAAATCTTACCACTTACCACAGTATCATAATGGTACAAACGTGTACAAAATATTAAAACTCGGTTTGTAGTTGTTATCTAATACTATCGATATTTTAGTTTGTATCAAAATTGTATTGGTAAAAGATTGGCCTGAGTTAACGAATTGACCCTGATGAGAAGGATTGTCAGGAAGAAAAACAATTCCACATTGATAGCTCAAACTTTGTTGGTCAAAAGAGGAATTGCCAGTGTCTACTTTGAAACATAAGATATGATCACAGTACGCTAATGAGAAGCACTGTTATTTTGTGTATCTAAACGCATAGTACAATAAGATGCATTGACCAACTGCCAAGAGGCCCAAGACAACCTTTGAGCTTTAGTTCGTCACGTAGAAAAGAAAAGTTGCTCAAGTACCTGCACAAGATGCAATACACATTGAGCATAAGTTCAACAACCATAACGATGTCAACTACACTTGAAACCAAAAATGTTCTTTGACATAAAGTCTACAATAAACCTGGGCATACACTTCCCCCACATGTTCCAACCATATTCTTATGTATCATACTATCATTCACTTTTTGAATGTTGAAAAAGTAGATAGCATTCCAACATCCAATATATCAAAGCCACATATAAATGTATCTAAAAATGTAGGACAAAATGCTTCTGTATCCTCACTCTAAAGTCTAAGCCATGTGTGTATATAGGGGTGGACCAAGACTGTTTCTTAGCAGGACAAATCTACCGTAACGTTTCAGGGGTTTTAGCGTATTAAAAAATTGGCCCAGAACCAGAAATCTGTGCAACAAGTCTCATTTGTCTGCCTGGTTTTTCATAACCCGGACCAAAAACAAAGGGCCCCAAAAAACTAATAATGAAAATCAGCATTGGGAGAACCATTTCCTTGTATAAATTATTTTTTCACTTTTTATAATGTGTACTACGTAGTAATAAATTCCATTTTATGATCTCTAATGCCAATATCAGAATTTTAAATCCATTTTATGTCAACAGCATTCATTTACCCCTATTCTTGTCTACGACTTAATAGGGGCATGGCCGCATGGTCCTACTTCTCTCATTGCAAAATATTGAGGAAGATAATCCTTTAAAAGTTCAAAGCTAGTGTTCTTGTTAGTTGTTACTATTCTCAACAAGTACAGCGGTACAGGTAACATTTACATATTGAAGGAATTTGCAAATCATTGCCACTGTCAGGTGAAAATCAAGACTACTTATTTTAAGTTGTACATCTTATGCGCGCATCAATCATTTGATCCAACCACGAAGGTCAGATGCAATGTACTAACTTCATCCATTTTTTGTATCCATCTAGCTAGTCAAACCCTTTTTGTACTCAATAGAGCAAAAACAGATACATAATTGGATATCCTGGGAATGGATGGGTATATGACAGCATAAGGCAAGGGTATTAATATTAAGGCAAGTAGGTCTTGACACGATGATAATATTAATATATTCATTCGGTATTTATATAGAGTTTTGAATTTAATTATGTGTGTGTGTGTATAGGGAGTACATGGTATGGTAGCTTTGGTTCTAAGATCTTACGATCCGATTTACGAGGCCCTAGGGCCTAGTTACAATCTCCTAACCCCCTTCCCATCAGTCCTAGGATCTCGAGTTTAACAACCTTGGCACAAGGTCGCTTACAATGTAGAGATTATACAATTGTGTACATGTGTACTTAATGTTTAAAAATTCAAGGTTTCTTATATTCCATTAAATTCATAAAAAATGTTAACAAAGAACACATGTTTATTAGGCAAGGCAAGAAAAAAACAAGTGAAAGGAATAAAAGCAGAGACCTACAATGCAGACTCACTGTCCCATGCCTGAATGTTTGAGAGAGCCTTGTTGTCATCACCCACCCTTTCCACTCCTCCCTATCAATCCCAATGATCCCAATTCTTTCTTATAAACCGAAAACAAACAAAAAAACTAGCAACAATTCAACTACACAACCCTCCCAGGAAAAGATAATGATTGCATACTTCCATTTGTGCATTCCTTATTCAGGATTTTTAAAAGATAGAAGACTGCCGATTTTCAATTCGATTCTGACCATATTCTTTTACTATGTTCTATATTCTAGATCTGTCCTAAAAATGGAATCAGACTCACAAAGAAACTACTAACGGTCCGGACAAGAACGGCAAAAGGTACCATGAGACAGCTCGCAAAAAGCCCGCACATCAACCTTCAATTGAGGTCCAGCCGTCTTGCTAAGCAGAGGTATCAGCAATTGTGCTGCAGCTAGTCTTCCTAATGTCCTAAAAAACATCCACAATAGAAACACATTCAAAAATCCTAGAGTGAAAGTTAGTACAGAAATAGGAGAATATCATTAAACGTATATTTTAGAATCTATTGGGTATGATATAAGAGACCAGTGTAGTAGAAGGACCTAGGATCAGTGAAGGAAGAGCTGTGGGAATGGGCCCGAGAACCGGCGATGGGTGGCGGACGGATGCGTGAAAGAGGTGGAGAAGAGCGAGCAGTGGAGGCCCTGACGGTGGAGATGAATGATCTGGAAAGCGAACCACGCCAAGCCATAGTTGCAGTGCAGTCACCTCACAGTTGAGGACGGAGCGCAGAAAATGAAATAAGCTGCTGGATAGGAAGGCCAAACCAAGGTAATTGTGAAAATCTGCTTCTTTCTAGGGCATAGTAACACTAGAAATAATTTAAGGTTGACTTTAGCCCAAAAGTAGAGTCCATTTATGTCTGTCCCCACATTCAAAAAAACTACCCTATTCATAGATACATTGTACCCACTACTTTGTACCCACCTTATACCCACCTCTGTGAAAGCTATTTTTTTGTCTGTGAAGCCGGTTCACAGACAAAATATGTCTTTGAATTCCTTCACAGACATATTTTGTCTGTGAAGGAATTCACAGACAAAAAAAATAACTTCACAAACATGGGTGAGTACAAAAGTGGGTATAAAAGTGGGTACAAACATCATTTTCCTCATAGATAAGGGTTTTGATCTAAAACTGAATCAAATTAAATCGGGCTGCAACCAAATTAAATCGGGCCAAAATCGGATGTAAAAAATGAACTGAAGCGTAGTTATATGATTCAATTTTGGTTTTCAACCTTTAAAACCGTTGCCAAAAAAATCCTTTAAAACCGAACTAATTGAATTATAAAAATTTATTTGTTAATCGTTAAGCATTACTCCTAACATTCTTTGGTATTCTTGAGAGGTTAATTGTTGCTTCGTTTTGATATTCAAAATTTCAACAGATTGTAATTAATTTGTTAATTTGTTGCTAGACAGTAGACACTTTGTGATTGCTCTATTAATTTTTGCTGTTTTCGACTTTGGATGATATTTTTTGTTGGCGAGTTACAAAAATTGTGATGTTACTTTATAAATGTTCTCAAGTTTTCCAACAAAACTCAAAAATACTACTACCTCCGTGCCTAAAAGATCTTTCAATTGTGGTTTACGATGTTTGACCAACAATAAAGTTAAATAATCTTTATCAAAACTCAGATTATTTTTAGTAAATAAAATTTACATATTCAGAAACTAAATTAAAACCACTATAAAGATGTAATAAATTTTGATATATAAAGTAAAAGATTAAGAGTGATTTAAGTTGGCCAAATGAATAGTGGAATGGAAGATCTTTCGGGGACAGAGGGAGTAATTATTTCCGAGCCAGGCGGTCTGGTGGACAGCCCAACCCGCGCTGCTAGGCTGGCTTGGTCCTATGATTAGGCTTGTTTGTACAGGGTCAGGCCGGTCCCGCCCACACAAATGAAATTTTAGGAAAAGTCCGGCCCGAGCCTGGCCGAGCCTGTTTTTGTGTAGGTCTAGTTGTGGATAAGCGGCTATGGATATAGAGTAAACCTAGCCGCTAGCTCTTTTTCTTATTTCGTCTCCATCTCTTTTTTCAACATGATATAAGGTTTTTCATGGCAGTGTTTCCATTTATTATGATGTATTTATTTTCTCTTGATGTCTAGAGTGTATTCTTCATTGGCATAGCCGATCGGGTGATCGAGCTTTCAGCTTTTGTTTTTCTAGTCAACAACAATTGTTCTACCTTTTTTGGATTTTAAAGTCAGGTAACGATACGGTGCATATGTGGTCTTGTCATTCGTCTCATTCCTTAATCATCGCCTTTTATGGGAGGAAATTGGTTACTCGATTGAGTCTCCTTTGTGGTGGTTCATCAAGTCAATTATTTGGACAAATTAGGCCCGGTCCTATAATTTAACTTAAAATGGAAACTATTACGTGTATTCTACTATTCCATTATTAATCCCAAATATGAGTAATTCTAGAATAATACAAACTTCACATGTCATCTTCCCAAATTGATCCCAAGCAACCTAGAACCCATTGAACCGGTAAAAACTGAAAATAAAGCAAAAAAGGGATTGGTGGACGGCTGAAACAAGAGGCCATTCATATACTTTGGTCTTGTATAGTTGGACGGACGGCAAAGAGGAGCAGGCCTCCAATCTCTTCCGGTCTACCCGCTGGCTCCTTATGCAATTCAAACTGACTCGTTCAGTTGTCAACCTACTTTAGGGAGTAGTCTGTTTCCGTATTACTTGGGCCTTTGTGTGATTGGGCCGGACAAAATAAGTAATTTAAGACAGAAAAATAAGTCTACTCAAACCTAATATAAAGAAAAAAGGGTGTTTCTATCCGCAGTCTTCAAATTGCTATTCATAACCACTTAAATAAATAAAAAATAAATAAAAAATTATTCAAGGTCTAAATTATCCTTATTAGAGAAGATTAGCGCACGAAGCAGAAATCTGAGAAAACAAGTGTCGAAGGAGACGAGTTGAGCAGACAATACTGTAGTCTGTTATTACCTTTTTAGGGAATTATTACCATTGCTTCTTTGAAGCTTGTCAATTGTCATGTGCGTGAGTTTACAAGGAGCTCTACTTTGATCCGAATATGTGAATTGAATATATAGAGAATATATCTGTTGAAAAGCCTGGTATGGATGAAAAGTGGGATGTAACACGGAGCGTCCGATCTTCACAAATCTGACGGCCAATCTTTTTTAATGACGTTCCACTAGTTTATTAATAACAAAACTTCCCGCTCAAAGTCTCTGGTTATCGGTTTGAGAAGGCAGAATCATCTGCGATGAAGCCCTCTTTCACTGAGAAGCCAGAATCATCCGCGAACAAGCCCTCTTCCACTGAAAAAGCACCGACTTTTCATCATATCCAACTCTAGGTTTGTTTCCGCTTCACTCTCTCGTCTTGTATCTCTTCTTCTTCATCGATCCAATATTTCTAACTAAACTGAGAATTTGTGTGATTCTATCTCTAATCTGATGATAGGTCATCAACGATTTTGGGGGAGAGCCTAATTGTGTTTGTATAGACGAGTCGATAATATGAGATTCTCTTCGACCTTCTTTCTCACATTCATTGGATAGTTTAATTATATTGAATGATTTTTTTACTAAACCTTGATAAAGGATTTTTCTTAAAATCATCCTCTTACGATTTTAGGCTTATACGTTATGGTTTATATGAGATTATTAAAAATCATTACTGTAATGCAATCTTGTTTTGAACTTGCCAGCTATTTGTTGAAATAGATATTGAGTTCAAGTTATGTCTTTTGGTTATTTTCTGATTGTGAACTTAAGTTATGCCTATTGAAATAGATATTGAGTTCAAGTTACATCTTTTGGTTATTTTCTGCTTGTGAACTTAAGTTATGCCTGCAAACTATTCAAAAAAATGTTATAATGGTAATGGTGTTAATGTACCTCACATTTAAGTTATAAGTTATGATTTATTGGTTAGAAGTCATTTTTATGGTTCTATTAGTATATGCATAATTTGTTTTCATTCTTTTTTAATGAGAAATTAGTTTACTCTTTTTGTTTTTAGTTTCTGGTTTGCATTATTATTCTTCAGGCTTTATGATTCAAACTGCGGGCAGAGGCTACTCATTGTTTTCCTAGTAATCTCACACTTCTCTATTTCATCGAAACTCATACTTTTGTAACCTCTAAATTCTACTTCGTATTAGATTTAAAGTGAGACAATAAGTTATGACTTTCTTTCTATATGTTACATTTTGGATTTATTAGTTTATGTTAACTTGAAAGAATGTTTGATTATTTTAGAGTCTTGGGAGTTTAAGAAAAAGTTAAGCCTTTGGGTTTAAAAGTTACATTTTTTAGTTTACAAGTTATTGTAAATTGAGTAAAATTAATGTTTTCTTCAACATCTCTAAATAGAAATGTAGACTGGAGAAAGTGTGGGTGGATGGATTTGCTCTTTCAGACTTCTCTATTTTGATAATTATTGGTAAGGATTAACAGTTATAGGTTGGAGTGTGTCTACTTATGTTAAAAGTTATGAATATTTTATTACAAGTTATGAATATTTTATTAAAAGTTATGTTTCCATTCCAAATGTGTAATTTATGTCATTCTTTTTTAGCCTATGGCCTCTGCCCCTGCCGCGGGGGCAAACTCTTCTATGTTATAGGTCAAATCGTGAATTCAATGGTGTTACTGATGACTCGTCCCCCTCATGAAGCATCAGCATGAAGTAAATCGGATGTCTGTGACTAGAAGATTGTACTTGATTTTCATCAAACGAATGAATACAGGACAAGCGTCCATCATGTTAAGTGAAGAAGTTCATATATAAAGAATTGTTGGATTCATTCCTTAATTGATATTGATATTCATGTTAGAAGTTACACAAAATTGGAGTAAAACATGGACAAATTAAAATTCTAAGATAAGATTAAATATATTCTCTTCTCGAAGTAGGATATATCTAGTCATATTAAAAATGAATACAAGTTTGTCTAAATAAGAATACATGAATCTTATTATTGCAAAAAATAATAATAGTAATCCTATTTGAGAAGATTTGCAAACTTTATTCATGAAAAATCAAATCCAATTTGTAAAAATCGTTTCCTAAACAAATTTTTACGCTCAGATATTTTTAAATTTTAACGCATGCACTTGACTCTTCTCTAATTCAAAAAGCATTATACTTTCTCTATAAACACTTATAGTTAAAAGGAAAATAATGAAGATATAGAGTTTTGACGTGTTTTTTCTGAACTGGGTTCAGTTTTTTATCCGTTTCAAGTTAGTTCGGTTTAGTCATATTATCCCGTTCGGGTAGACTTTTCCAACTTCATTTTTTTTATATCTCAAGCTCATTTGAAAATGGGTGGACCGGGCCCGGTTCGGGCCTGGGCCCGGTTCGGGCCTGGGCCAGGTTCGGGCCTGGGCCCGGCCGGGCCTCGGTTCAAAAATGGGAGGCCCGGAACCGGCCCGGGTAATCCCGGGTCCGGGCCGGGCCGGGCCTCGGTTCTATTTTTTTTTTTGGCTTTTCCTAATTAACCCCCAACCCTCCCCCCTCACCCCCAAACCACCCCAAACCACCTCAAATGGCCCAAAATACCAAGCCCAACCCAAAAACTAAAAAAAAAATCAAAAAAAAAAATTAATTTGGCCCGAACCGGCCGGGCCGGTTCGCCAATCAAAGGGCCCGGGCCCGAACCGCACAGTAACCGGGCCAGGCCGACCCGAACCGCCCCCCGGACCGGTTCCCGGGCCGGGCCGGTTCAAACAGTAACCGGGCCGGGCCGCCCGACCCGAGTCCATCCCTAATTTGAATTCTTCAGATAACCCGATACAGATTTTTTTTAATATTAGGGAGGTTCATCATTTAGTCCGGAAAAGGAAA